TCCGGCCCTCTCTATGCCCATGGTGCAGTCCGTTATTTCTCGGACTGCAATGATGGCCTTCCCATGCCCATGGGAGCTTCCTTTTGCTCCTACATTTCTCCCATAGTGGCCCCTCCTACCCCGATTTTCTCCCGGAGGCTATTTTTCATATAGGGCCTCTTTTGTCTCCATTTTCCTAGGGGAGGCTAATGCGAGATTTTTCGGATTGCTCCTATACCTCACACTTCAGTTTTCTTTACTTTTTCTTTTCCTTTTGGCCTTCCCGTTTGTCACGACTAGTGCTTGCGCTAGTGGTGCTAATATTCTTGGCCGTCAAGATGTTGATCTTGACGGTGCACCTTGCATTTATTATTTTCCTTCATGTGGTGCCGCCGTTTCTTCTTGGGACTTTCACATATCCCCGCTACTTGTCCCGTCGGTGCTCCTCGACACTTAGTCCCGCCGGTCGTCCTCGATACTTGGTCCCGCCGGTGGTCCCCGACACTTAGTCCCGCCGGTGGTCCCCGACACATTTCGCCCCGGATGCCATTATATTTACTTAGTCCCATGTGGCCCCGGATGCCTTTCCCCGAGGTGTCTCATGCCCCTTGGGCGTCTTGTCGCCCCATAGCGACCCTTCTTCTTGGTCTTTCCTCGCGCCTTGTGCGAGCCGATCTTTTTTGGTCGTGGGCCTCCGCTTCGAGGCTCCCGTAGGTGGCCTCCACGTTGCCCCCTCGTTTCCTGGCTTCCCGCAGCCTCTTGGCCACCCATCCCTCGACTTCCTCATTTCTTTATCGTTGTCGTGCTGCATTTGCTGGTTCAAGGGGCCCTTTGGCCTTAGTCTTATTGCATTCCGATGACCCTCCCGGCCTCCTGCTATATTCTACGTGCCCTTGTTCTTGCGCTCGCTCGCTTGCTGCCGCTTAGTTTTTTCCCCCTGTGGTTCTCGCCCCAGAGCATTACTCCCTCATGCGGCCTAATCCTTTATCTCGTCTCACTCTGCATTTCTCTGTTGTGCACAGTTCGTACATATTTGGTCTCTCGAGTAATGGAAAGTTATTCGGGACTCACCAGTCCCGACACATTCCCCCCACTCTTTTGCGATGTCCTCATCGCGCACCAATCTCTTGTCAGTGGGTTTTGGAGAGATAGACGGGAGAGGAGGATGAGATGTTATGGATGGTTAATTTGCCAAAGTCCTTTTTGTTATTTTTCCATTCCTTTCCCAAGGTTTTCCTTAGCTTCTGCCCCTTGGGGAGCCAAAGGTTCTTCTTCAGGCTTTCTTCAGCTTAGACCAGGTTGCTCATTTCTATCATAGCTCTGCCTCTTTTATCTTTCCCTCAATCGAGATGAGAACTTCCTCTTCAGTCAATTCTGTATACCCAACAGGGCAGCTCATAATTTTTTCGACTTCAGTAACATAAAGCAGACGGGGCTTTTCTCGCTTCATGCACTTAACTTACTGGCACGCTGACTTTATTCCCAGGATGACAGTTTGTTGTCATAACACAATTGGCTTTCTCATTTTTGCCTTAGCATTGTTGATAACAAATTGTAGGCAAGTTTCCGGATGTGATTCGATGTCAGGCGTTTGCTCCGGAAGGGGGATTTTCGTCCAGTACAATCGCCGCCTTTGCTATGGTGATACCCACTTTGAATCAGCGAACCCAGACACAACTCTTTGTAATCTCAAATCTATCTTCCCATTTCATTGAGAAAACATTCTTGGGCAGAAACCATTTTGATTTCGTCTTATTCATTACTCTTAGAGTTATCAACAAGTAGTTCACTTTTCAACCCGTGCAATCCATGTTTTTCCGTCATTCTTTCCTCAGTCTCATGCTTAGTCAGTTCTCATGTATTTTTCCTACGTCATTTTGCCCGACTTTTTTTAGCCTTGCCAATTCTGCATGCATGTCACCCTCATTATCGAAATCCACATTACTTAGTTCATTCATACGCATCTTTTCTTCTGGCATCTCCCCAGACCTTGCCCAAACTCATGCAAAGTCCATTACACATCTCTCACTTTTTTGGGCGTCTTTGCCAGTCCTTCCCTTAAGCTCATGCAACTCCAACCATCCGTATCTTTCTCTTTTGACTGCCCTGCCAGGCCTTCTCTCAAGCCTGTGCAGGGTCAATTACTCATCCACTTCTCTTCTGGCTCTCTTGCCAGGCCTTGTCTTAAGCCCATGCAACGTCAGTTACTCATCCATTTCTCTTCTGGCCTTCTTGCCAGGTCTTTTCCCAAACTTGCGCAAAGACCAATACACAACCACGTTTTTCTTTGTTCTGGACATCTTGCCAGGCCTCTTCTTAAGCCTGCGCAAAGTCAATTATACAACCATTTTCCTTTCTTTTGGACATCTTGTCAGACCTCTTCTTAAGCCTGCGCAAAGTCAATTACACAACCATTTTTCTTTCTTCTCCACGTTTTTTCATTGGTAGATGGCACACCTTTCCCCCACTCAAAATGCGATGGCCCCATCGCACGATTAGTTCTCACTCGGAGGTACGCAACCTTTGGTCCACCAACGAGTAGGCGGATGCCGACCCATCAGCCCCAAAAGGGAAGGGTGATCAGTCCTCCCCTTGCTGATAACTCACCTCATCCCCTTACTCTGTCCGACCTTTTGCCGCTTACGAGACGGACGTTATTACTGAGGTATCTCCTCACATCTGGAAGGCAGGTCCAGTACAAGCCTGCAAGGACCCCGTCTTGCTGTAAGGGCTTCCTCGCGAATCGTTCCTCCCGAGTGGTGTTTTCTTGGATCCGGCCCCTTCCTTTCAAAGAGAGTTGGGACTCTCTATTAGTTCACGAGTGCAGTTACGAAGACATCGTGGTTAGTCCCGGAACGGTTGTAATGATCCGGTAGGGCGGTGTCACTCGCCCTGTGGTGGTTGCGGCTTCCACCCGGTACCACGCCCCGATTCCTCCCTCTGGACAGTGCTGCTCAACTTAATGCGAGTGACCGTGGTCCACTCCAAACGGTCGTGCCGCCCCTCTACGGCATGGCGTGTGGCTGGGGAGAAAAAATGAGACTTAGGAAAAAGAATGGCTCTCTCGTTCGTTTGGCTCCACGCCCTTGACGTTTAGGCACTCAACATGAGGCGCAGTTTGAACTCCCGGACTAGAGCTCTTTGTCGGAGTTAGTTCCGGAGGGCTCGCATCACTCAAAGAGAATGATGCCTCGGTCCTTTAACCTTTATCCTTCTTTATGAGGAACAGGTTGCGCTGAGACTTTCCTTTTAAAAGGTCAGAGGTCCTGGGGTCGCAGTGCGAGCACCGATAGCCCCCTCTTGCTGAGGCCCGAGACTTTAAAAAAAAAAAAAACTCAATCTCTTGCTATTTCCATGGTCGGCCCAACGACCTTACATCAAGTTGCCTAGGGTCCCCTGCCTATGCAATGCAATATCCAATTCTCAATCATTCAATCCAATGCTATTTTCAAGGCTGATTCTCATGGCTGGTCCGACAACCTCTCATCAACAAGGCCACCCACATGACTGATCTGGTTGTCGTTATTTCAATAACCATCTCTCAAGGCCAACCTTTCGGCCCATTCAATCCTCAACTCTTCCCATTTCTCAATACCGAATCCTTATGACCGTTCCAACGGTCCTTTGCCCTTCTCGTTCTTAAGGCCCGACCTTCTTTCTCCTGCCCTTCTCATTCCCTTTCATCCATCTTCTTGGCTATTTCAATGACCGACCCACCTGCCTTTTCCATCTCTTTCACCCATCCTATTGACTATTTCAATGACCGACCCACCGGCCTTTTCACCGCTCATTCCAACTCATTCTCAATCATCCTTTCTCAATCAACCTTTCTCAATCAATTACGCAGGGGACCCCAGTGCCTATTTCAAAAGGAATGACCCTTGTCAGGGTCAGGGGCCATTCCCAAACAACCTGGTTAGGGTCGTTCTTTTCCATTCTCAAGTCGAACAGCCTGGTTAGGGCCATTCCTTTCCATTCTCAAGTCTTACAGCCTGGTTAGGGTCATTCCTTTCTATTCTCAAGTAGAATCGTCTGGTTAGGGTCATTCCTTTCCATTCTCAAGTCAAACAGCCTGGTTAGGCCATTCCTTTCCATTCTCAATGTTAGTGCCCGAGGGGGTGGGCCTCGAGGTTACGGATCCCATTTCTGTCTTGGACGTTAGAAGGTGGCCATCTCATTTTTTGCGTGCTGTTCTCTTTCTTCCATTTCTCACAGTAATGTATTATCTAATCCGTTTCTCACAGTAATGTACTATCGATGCATACATTCGACTTAGCGTCTAGCACTCGAGTTTGGGCTCGCGACCCCAAGCAGCACTAGCTCACCCGGCCGTTCAACCATAGCAAGAGACAGGGGCGCCCCCTCTTTTTCTTCACTCGTTCCGACGAATCAGATCTTGACCATTCTCAGACTAATTCATGACTCGGTTGGATTAGGCTCCTAGGGAAGGAGTATTCTTCACGCCCCTTAACCCATAGGTTCCCTAACCTCTCTTGTACTCGATCAATCATTCAATGTCATGGTTCGCTCGTCAATCCATACTCAAGGTTTTCTCCTCTAAAAAAACACAATGCTTGTTCCATCCAGAATTAACAATACACCCTCTCCCAATTGGTCTCATCCCAAATCTCATGTCTTTGTCTTATGCACCCATCTTAGAAGGTAGCTCATCCAAAAAGTAACCTAAAAAACTATCTTCTATCTTATCATGACATAGCCTTAGTTGACCCTCTTTTCACTTCATCCTTAGCAAGCTTGCCCATACTGTACACCTTCTCGTCATTCTCATGTCTCTGTAAACAGAAAAGCAGCGATCCTTTTCAATGCTAAGTCAACATCTAGTTCCTATTGCTGCCTTGCGCCTTGTCTTGCCCAGTTCCTTGCCCACCTTGTTCCTTGGCAGACTTCCTAACCCCCAGGCCTTAGGTCTCGATTTCTCTCTTCTTTTTTGCAATTTCCTATAATTCGGTTTCAATGAAGAAGTCCAATGGTGTAGCTTCCACCCCCACCTTTGCAAGTTCCCGGGTCTTGATAATTCATTCGTGCCTGATCACATTGGTTCATTGCTGAAACCGATGACTGGGTGTTGGCCCAAACTCGTCCTCCCATCTGAAAGCCCCGTTGCCCGGCTGGTGCATCGGAGGCCGCCTTTCTTCCCTAGGCCTCGAGATCTCATCTCTCTCATCCCCACTGCTGATTTCTATGACCTCTTGTACATCCTCCTCCTCGTCCTCCTCGTCTTCTGTCTGTATGGGGCTGTACCCACCCGCTAGGTTCTTCGGATCGTAGGTAAAAGGAATCTTTGTCCCCGTCCCATACCCCTCACAATTGCCGTGGCCGCTTTTTCCTTCAAGCGTGCTTTCCCTTTTTTCCTCCTCGTTCTCTTGCTCGTTGCGCATGTCCTGTCTCTCCCCCCTTTCCTCATCCCAAGGCTCACGCCGTTCGCATTCCTCGTCCCTTTCTTCGTCAGAGGCGCGAGCCTTGCCTCTCATCTCCGTGTCGCCCCGTCCTCCCATATTTGCCCTTCCCCTCTCCCCTTCACTCCCAGATGAGATTTTTATCCCCTCTCCCTTTCGGAGGGGCGAGGGTCTTCTGCATAGGCACTTCCTTCCACCCCTGCTTACCACCGGTCCGCCCATGAGCCCTATGTACAGCTTTCTCTTCGCAGTTCTCCTCCCTTGGCTTGACCCCGCTTCTTCCCCTCCGGCAGACCTGTTGATTGCCCCACTGTCATTCTCGTTACCGAACTCCATTTTTCTTTCTTTTAGACCCTGTATAACAAAACAACACCCGCAAAGTCCCTCATGCACCCATTCCCCCAGTCTAGTAGCCAATTCCCCCTTTCCCCAGAATGCTCCCAACATCCCCCGCACCATGCCCCTATTATACATGCGAATGCGCCGTTTGTGATGACCCCAACATTCCCCCGTCAACACTATGATACATTGCTCCCGCCACTCCTTGCGGTCACCAAAAAAAAAACCGTTACCCCAAACTCCCAAGTCATCATGCTTCTCAACCACAGTCGGTCCAACCCATTGCCCCATAAAAAAATCGACAGTCTCATGAACGAAGTCAGAGATCGAACCATAGTGAGAGCATGACCGTTTGTCAATCCTTAACATGTTGTTCCTCAGTTTCCTTATCCTCGGCCTCCTGGAGCTATTGTTCCACCGGGTCCCGACTCAGAAACCTGATCAACCGTTGCCCTGGGAAGGGTCCTTTTAGTCCAGTTTCATCCAGGTCTTCTAGTGCAAAGGTGTTCAGTCTCACCCGCTTGACGACCCGGTAGGGGGCTTTGAACCTCTTCCCCAACTGCCCAGACCATGTACTCTCTAGTGCCGAGTTTCTTAGCAATACCATTTCCCCCACCTGAAATGGTTCCTTTCTGACGTTCTTAACCTGGTCCCACCTTGCTTTGTCTCTCATTCTGCTGTCTAGCACCCGGTTGGCGATGTCTTCCATGACTTCTTCGTTCTTAAAGACCTGTTGACACCTTGCCTCGATTAACTCTTCCGTAGTCATTCGCGGATCATCATCTAACCTGTTCCAGGTAGGTATCAAGGCTTCGACGAGAAAATCGATCTCTCTTCCGTACCATATTTCCGCTGGGATACATCCCGTTGTCCTTTTAGGTGTCATGTTCTCTAAAAAGACCGCCTGCTTGAGGTACCTGGGCCAGCTTCCCAGATGGTCCGCCGCGAGCTTTGCGATCGTGTTCTTTAGGGTTCGGTGTCCTCTTTCCACCGCTGCATTGGTCTCTGGGTGATATGGCTCGATGAGTTTGATCGGCACACAAAGTCTCTTAAGCATTCCCAATACTTCTTGATTCACAAATTTCGTCCCATTGTCCGCTATAAACCTCCTGAAAAAAGGATGCCTCAAATAGAAGTCTTCTATCCAGTCGGCCACACTTCTCCCGGTCTTTTTCTTGAGGGCGACCGCCTCCACGAACCCACTCAAGTTGTCTCGCGCATCTAGAATATACCTGTACCCGTCGGTTGACACTGGCATGACTGCAAGGTCAAGGTGGACCAGATGTCCCAGTCCTAACACCCGTGTTGGTCTAAGTGGCTCAAAGACACGCGTCGAGCTTCTTTCCTGGCAGATGAGGCATGTCTGGCAGTACGTGGCGACCATGCCAGTCATGCCTGGCCAATAATAGAGTGGTGCTATCTTCGCAAGAGTTCCTTTTGATGATCGATGTCCCCCCGCCAAGCCGTCGTGCATTGCCTGGATAACATCCAACTGCCTAGATCTATCGCACACGACTCTTCTACGCATAGTTCCTTCTTCTCTTCGGAACATGTGGCCCCCCCTTAGGACGTACCTCCCGGCTTCCTCCCTTGCTTTAATGCCGACTTCCACGGGTTGTTTATTTCCTATTAGCAACAATTCGATCTCCTGAAAGATCCCTTCGTATGTCCGAGCATAGAAAAACTCCTTTCCTTCCCGATCCTCCTCCTTTTTCTCCTGCATCTGGTTTACCAACCATTGCAACTCTTTCCTTCCCCACGATTCCACTAGGCTCATTACGGCTTCCCGACCCCTTTCAACCGTCATTGCTATGAGTTCTTACTTTGGTCCTACTATTGCTCCCCACGACTCCCTTTCCTCTTTACGACCTCGAGTGGTGACTGGTCCTTCTCTAAGTTCTGCTACTACGGCAGGTGCCCCCTTTTCCAAAGTCCGAATCAGCAGTTCCACAGATGCGCACCCCTCGTCCATCACTTCGTTGTCCACCGCAAGAGTCCCTCCTTCGAATTCAAGGAATGCATCTATAGGCTCCGCATCCTCCACCCCTTCGGGAGTGATGCAAACCCGACTCAGCCCATCTGCCTTGTTCCGGATTCCAGCAATCTGTTCGATCTTGTAATCGAGCTGCCAGATGAATCCTACCCATCTCCCCACCATTGGATCTATAGGCTTGTAATTCTTTAGAGCCCCTGCGACATTCGTCGGATCGATCCTTAAGATGAATCGCCTCCCAAATAGGTAGACCTGGAAGGTCTTAAGGCAATGCAGGATGGCTAGGACTTCCTTCTTGAATTGCGAGTACCGCCGTTCTGCGGAGTTCAGGGTTCTACTTTCGAACCTAATCGGCCTCTCTTTTCCTCCCTCGTCCCTTTGAATCAGTACGCCTCCTACGGCCAAGGGCCCTCCATCTGTTTCCAGGATGAATGGTTGTCCTACCTCATCATTAAAGCAGGGCGCCGACAACGCGACCTGCTCTGACGTCAAAACGTCCTTGAGGGTCTGGACGGCTCCCTCTCGCTCCTCCGTCCAGTCCATGGTCCCTTCCTCTCTGATCATAGTCCGAATAGGCTCCGCAATCTTGGCAAAATTCTTAATGAAGATCCTCCAGAAGTCGACCACGCCTAGGAATGCTCTCACCTCCGTTGTAGTGCGCAGGGGGGTTGGTCGCTGCGATATCTTGTCGGTTTTCGTCGGATCTGGCTTCCTACCATAAGCACCGCAGCGAAATCCTAGTATGGTTACTTCTGGTACTGCTAGAATACTGTTTGGTCCACTAGTTGTGATGTTGTATACTAGGAACCGGCGGAGCAAGTCCTTAATGTCTTGTAGATGGTCTCATACAAACTTTCGGATTCCTGGTTGGACTTCTGTGTCGTCCTTCTCCTGAGCGCCTTTGATCGGATTGTCGTCGATATAGGGTTCACATGTCCCCGACTACGGCTAGCATTCTTCGTTGCGCTTCGGCTACCGCGTTCGTAAAGCCCATAGGGGTTACCTGCATCTGCAACTGGCCTACCGGGGTGTGCATTGCGATGTACGGCCTGTCCCGAACATCCAATGGAAGCTGGTCATATCCCGAGTACAGATCTATTAGGGAGTAAGTGCTTCGTCCGGCGTGCGATTCCGCCAATAGATCGGCCTGGGGTAGTGAGCCAGCATCCCGGATGGTCACTGCATTCAGCTTCTGCAGATCCTGAATCCACCTTAACGTCTTATTGGGCTTTTGAAAGACGAACCACCGGCTTGCATATGGCGACGCCGTAGGTTCCGCGACGAAGAAGTCCATCTTTGTTCAAAGGAGGTCTGTCACTTCCCCCGCTATTCCGAATTCATATGACGGTCCCTTGTCATTTCAGCATTCATGCTCTACCGTGTGGATTCTGAGCGGAGGGATCAATTTTGCGTCCAGCCGCCCCTTTTGATGGTCACTAAAGGCAAATGCCAAATGAAACTCCTGGCAGGTCTTCTTAATCAGGCGGTTTTCTTCTTCTGTTAAGAACCCGTCTATCCCTATCTTCATCGTGTCGGCTACCTCATCCGGTATTCGATGCCCTTCCGTTGCCCTCCTCTCTCGGATCACCTGCAGAACTTCCTCCTCCTTTTCCATGGCCTCTTCCTTTGATGTCTCAAGCAAGATCGATACCGACTTTGCTTTCTTCCTTACCGGCTTGTACTTTCGAACACTTCCTTCTGGGATCTTTCTCCTAAAAAATGAACGGTCGGGATTGCCCTCGTTGCTTCTACGACTCGTGGCTGAATACTAACTAGTTTTCCATTCAGGCAATCCCGTTTGTACCTCTCCTTCAAATTTCACCAAGGCCGCCGGGTCCACTCCTACCTTATGGTATCTGAGGGCCTTGATGAGCTGCAACAAATCGGGGATCTCGAGCGCGATTTTCGGCACGTCCTTGCGCACTTCGTTGCTTGGGCAGACTGGCCCCAAGCTCAACTTTCGTCTTCTTTTCTGCCACCATGACACCTAAAATCTCGTGCTCCTACCTCCTCTTCTTCTGGGGCAGGCTCATCTTGATCCACCCCTTTTTGTTGAATACCTCCTCAATCATTATTTCTACCCTCTCTCTCATACCTTCCATCCGCACGAAAGCCCCTTTTCGTGCGCTATCCTCGAACGAAGGTGACCACGTGGCCATTTTTCCCTTTGGAGGCTCCCCTCCTGTCCCCAGAAGTCGGAGGAGCTCTCCCCGACTGATGATTGGGTCCTATATGTCTACCATGTATGTGCCGTCGTGCAAGTGCATGCCTATCATTTCCACGTTTGCACACCATGGTCTCCCGAGGATTATATCGTGGTCCATTTCCTCCATTACGGTCATCCGTTAAAATGACCAGATTGACTCCTAGATTCCTGCTTTGACTGCGTATTTTGTGACATACCCAGCGAACGGGATTTCCCCACCGGCTCCCCGGATGCTCCCTGTTACTTCCTTATTTACCGTGCAACCCGTGACTGTTGCGAAATCTTTCCTTATGAGAGTGATTTCCGCTCCCCCGTCTACCAACGCGTCGGTATGATGAGTCACAATCTGAACCTTCAGTTTTCCTACGGGTAGCGCATGAAAACTGAGCTTTGTCCCATGAGATGCCCTCATGACCTCGCCACCTTCCCTGTCCGGTAGGCTTAGGTGGATGTCTGCAAAAGCCTTCTCGAGATCTTCCTCTGGAGGTTAGCGACTACTTGTGGAGGTTCCTCCTCCCTTTCCTCTTCTGGTAATTCGGGGTTCTCGTCTATCTTTACCCGTCGCCGAGTCAACAGTTGCCTAAGCCCTTTAAGCAACCTAGGGCTGACCTGCAACATCGTCTGAAATGACACCGACACCATGGTTCCTAGCAGCTTGCCAAGGGTGTCATCGATCTCAGACATGGATAAGATCGGGATTTGGTACCTAAACTTCTTCTTGGCAGCAGTAACTTTGTCTGTAGGTTCCTCTTCCCCAGGTTTCCCATAGACCTTTTCCGGTTCCTCGGCTTCAGGCTCTGCCTGGGGTTCCGAACTTCTAGCAACCTCCTCCATCACGGTGTCACGGATAATCCTTCTCCCAGCCGTCCCTAGCCGAGTAGTCGCGTTTACCCTATCTCATCCGTCGTTTTCCAGAATGAAGTTGACATGCGGCCCGCGCCCTCGGAGTTCATCCCGGATGATCTCGCCCACCGGTTCGGCTTCTACGGCCGTTATTTCTAACCCGTTCTATGATAATGGCTCGCCGCATTTCTCCTGGCGAGTTCCAGTTCACCCGTTCCCCTTGTGGTCCAAATATCTCCCCCTTTAATGACCTGGTACACCTCCTTTTCAGTATGTCATGGTTGAGCTTTGGACATGCCCGCACAAAATGTAATACCGCGGTACAGTATTTGCATTGTTCGTTTGCGGGATCTCTCCGTCCATATCCATGATTGGCTACCCCTGGCGGAACTACTGCTTCCTGGGGTAGGAGGGGGGGGCGGGATACTTGCGCCTGCATAACTAGTAGCGTGCTCTCCATCCTTTCAATCTTGTTGCGACTCCGTGCACCCGTTCGTGTAGGCTTTCAATTCCCTTTTTCACCTTGTCGTCCGTCCTACTGGTCAAGTCTATGATCTCCCCTTCCTTGAGCAAGGCCAACGTTTCTGTTACTACCGTTTTCTCAGCCAGATCCGTTCCCATGCTAAAATCAACATCCCGCGTGTTTACGAACTTGCTCGTCTGTTGGTAAGCTGACAAGATCTTGTCTTTGTCGAACTCGGAGAACTGCCTGAGGAAATATGTGCTCATTATCCGGTCCGTGACCCCGGGGATCCTTAGTGCTACTAGAGTAAATTCCCGTAGGAAATCATTGTACGTTGCGAAGTTCTTCCTCTGAACTGCCGCTAGGTCGGCCTCTGTTGCCATTTTCTCTGCCGCTAGGTACTTCCTCATCATCACATCTCCGGTCTCCTTCCAAGACCGGCTTGAGGCTACAATGGGTATTATGTCCCGTCCTAGGCTTAACGACACATGCTGTCCTAGATGGTCCATCTTTTCCTCCTCGGTCCACTTTAGTAACGCAGCTAGGTTCTCGTAGTCGATCAGGAACTCCGTGATGTTTTCTCCATCGAAAGTCAGCTTTTTCTTGGCGTCTGCTAGATAGCCTTGGTTCTTGTTTAGTGCTCGTGCAAGGGATGATACTATCTTCCTAAGGCCGCCTTCGGAGCTACTGGCCTCGCCTGCCACGCCGGTATCTGGCCCTTCCTTGCTGGCTTTCTGCCCCCCTCTAGTCTTTGTCGTTCCTTCCGAGTCGAGCCATCCCAACACCCTTTCTCTGAGGCTCCAGAGCCCTTCGCATCCTCGCGATACCGCTGGCGAGGTCGGCAGGCGGCTAGCCCTACTGTCTATGGCTAAGAGGTTCGTAGCCTTCTCTGCCTCCATTCCCGGAGATTTCTCTCTCTCTTTCCTTCTTTTGCTCGGCGTTCCCCCACGATCACTACCCTTGTCCCCTTGCCCAGTTCCGCCCCGGCTGGTTTTCCGTTCGTCCCGCGGTACCTCCTGCAGAGGGTCTTCCTCGTTTCCAATCATCATTTCCTCAATTAACCTTGCCTTGTATTCCGCGATCCTTTTCTCTATCTCTGCTAGTTTGCGCCTCGCGTCCGTGACCCTTACTTTCTTAGACACATCTCCCTCCGAGTTTGCGCCTCGCGTCCGTGACCCTATCCTTATTCCTGCCCTCCTTGTTTTCCTGAGTCCCCTGTCTGCTTCCCCCGACTTTTCCCGAGCTCTCTCCCGATGACATTTCCTTCCGGTTCCCTTTGGTGCCATCCGGATTTGTTGATTCCCTGTCTTTCTTCCCTTCCTTGCTTTGCTCAACACTGCCTCCTAAGCCTGGTCCTCCCTCGCTTTCATGATTACCTGTCTCATCCTCCGTTGCTATACTTGCCTACTTCTGCATAACCAAAGGATTCTCCAGAACAAACGTAGTGCAAGGCATTTAGGTTCCCTAGGTTCCAATCCTATTAGTTTATCCTTTTACTTGGCAATTATGCTTTTCCCCATTCCCATTTTCTGATGGCTTTCTTAATATAGAGCCGCGTCCGGCTCTGCTGCCTCACCGAGCTAAGGGCGTGACTTAGCTTCCCTTATCACCGGCTCGTTAAGAGCGCCCTTATTCCGTTGGTCGGTGCGTAGGGGTCCGGGTTGGGCAACCAACTAGGAAAAGTTTTCCTGCGCGGTGTTCCCTGTCTGGCGGTTATTGATCATCCGGGTCCGAGACCCCCCTTTCCTATTTCTGTCGGTGGGCCTTCGAACGTAGAAGATTGTACATGATTTGCCCTACTGGCTCGCCTGCGGGTGCTAGTCCCGTTCTCGCCCTCGTGGCCCTTCCAGTTCGGTAGGCTCCTCGAATAGTTGAGCCACCCCCGTTACATAATCCTCCCCTATCCTGATTTCCCTTTGGATTATGCGTTCGCACCCCGTCCAGTCTAGCTGGGGCACACAAAACATCAGGATGTGGATGACTTCTAGTAATTCGTGGACCCTGTTTCCCCAGAACGACCCATGTTCCACAGCGACATCATAGAACATCCCGATGGTCGGAGAGGGAACGTGGTCTGCCCACATTATTGCCGAGTCTGCCAGCTCCCGCGCCCTTGCGAGGCTCCCGAAGACAAGGTCTATCATAAAACGGGAAACCCGACACCTCAGCGGTGTGGTTGGTGCTCTTAATTCCCGCCATCCCCCCACTTCCACCCGGGTAAGTAAGCGCACGTTTCTTCTACCCCTGACTGATTGTCCTATCCGGGTCAACGTCCAAGCGGCCCTTCGAAAGACCGGTGCCAGCTCGTGACCTTGTGCTATCTCTACCCCCAACGAGTGCCAGTCAATCGCAGGCAGATACATGGTCCCGGTAACTTCCAGATTGGAAAACAGATCGTCTTCGGGTCCTCGATCGAGTCTCATCCCTGTCCACCGACATTCTACCAACATAAAGGCGGCGTCACTTTCCAAAGTCACGGCCCGCCATTCTATGTCGAATCCCCGATAAGTAGAACTCGACGGGAGGGATACTTCCCAGCGTCCACCGGTATTCCAGGGCGGTCCGGGGTACCGGGGCTGGCGTTCCATTCGCACATGGGGCTGGCGTTCCATTGGCTCACGTCTTGCTGCCATTGTTACCTTGGTAATTCCCTGCATAGTCCACATAGAAAGGGTTACAGCCAAACCTCAGAAACCGTCCACCTACGGCCCCTTGCCCTTCGTGTTTTCATCCTTCTTTTTTAGTCCCAACTATCCCTCCATATCCTCAGGAGCAGTAACCCCCTTTGGCTGTTCGTACAGCCGGTAGAGATCATCTATGTAGGTCGCGCCCCGACCTACCTCTTGCCGGATGACTCTCCACGTGGCCTCATCACTTATTTGTGGGACTCCCGACCTAGTATTTACCACTGCTCATAGAATGCAAAGCACCTCGCGCCCATGTTCGTCCCCGAAAAGCCCCATCTCTAGGAAGGCCCGATAGTATTCTCGATACATTAATGCTTCGTCAAAATTTAGCCTAGTTACGTCACTCACCGCCTGCTCCACTCGTTTTATGCCTCCCATTCGTCTTAGTAGGAAGGGTGGTAGACTTATCCGTACGACCTCATTTGGCAGCTCAAAACCCCCTGCCGCGGCGACTTTTACCTCAGCCGTCACGTCATCTTGTTCCGGATCTGCAAACTCAAACCCCTCCCGCCAGGTTATTTGCCATGCCCCTTCGAACATTCGCACGGGGTCATCCCCGGAGGCCAAGGCAATCCCAAAGGTCCGCCACTCTTCTTCCGACAGGTGTAAGGATCCCGTCGCATGCACTCGCTCTGGAAGGTCCAAACTTATGCCCCCGAATTCCCCTCTCGTACGCCACTCCAGTTCTATTACTAGGTACACCGTGTCTTCCACCAACTCTACCCCCACCCAGTCCATTACCGGGTTACTCACCACGTTCCTTGATGGCAGACTTATTTCGACCCTGTCTCCCGATGCCCTTGGTGGTCGGATCCCGCGAGGCCTATCTTCCCAGAACTTCATTCGTCGGGTCATCTCGCAATGCCTCCTTTCCCGCTTCCTTAGTCCGATTGCTGCACCCACCGAGATTCCGCGTCTTTCGTGTTTTAGTCTTTCAGTACCCGCTTCCTATCGTGCACTGGTTCCCGCCACTATCCCGTCTCCATGCCTGCCCTTATTTCGGCCTCCTCGCGTCCCCTGCTGACTAATATACATCCCCCTTTCTTATGCTACATCCTAATCCACATGCACCCTCCATAGTCCATTCTTCCTGTGACACTCTAACTTCGAGTCCCTTTAATCAGACCACCGCACCTCAAACAGCATAAAGACATCGTTCACATAGGATGGCACAGCCGCCGCCTCCCGGCTAACTATGGCGTCCCAAGCTTCCGCGCTTACCTCTAGGCGGTCGTATTTACCTATCCTCAGGATGGTGATAACATCACCGGCTTTATCCCCGTAGAAGGGCCCATATTTTAAGGAGAACCTATAGAACTCCTCGGTCAGCCAGGCACATTCTATGTGTACTTTCCTCATGGAGTCGGCTACGTCTGCTATGTGCTCAAAACCCCCGAACCAGTCGGCCACGAACTCGGGCACCCAAGCTGTTATACACAGGCAGGGAGGCCTGAGTTCTTTCCACCCTCCCATCACAACTTTGCTACTAATTTCGTCCCACCCCTCGTTGGCGAACCTCTTGCCTTCTTTTCGGGTTCACGCCTCTACATCCCTTAGAAGCCACATTGGATCTTGTCTCATTGCTAACATAGTGCAAAACATATGTCACCCATCCTCGGAGAGGACAATTGTTCCGACTGATTCCACTTTGCCCTCTGCTAACTCGTCCCAACCTTCGTCTTCCCTTATCGGGTTCCAAATCCGTTCTATCCATATATATGATAATTCTCGGGCAACCTCAAACCCAACCCAGTCGCACGTGGTCCCTCTCCATTCGTTTTCCGTTGGTATAGGCATCCTTACCCCCCCTCCGAGTCGTCTTGGTTCCCATCCCTTGAAGGTGTATTCCATCATCATCTCTTCTCTAATCATCCTTTTCCCTTCCTGCACAATACTAGGCCACCCGTTTTTTTTCCAAGGTCAAGTCCCCCTCCTTAGAGGTCCCAATCCTCTATCTCCTCATCCTCGTCCTCATCACTGAAGTCGTCCTCTTCGTCGTAGAACAACTCTTTCACCCCCTCCAGAAATGTCTCCCCTATTGCCATATTTCTATACACTATCCCCCAATGTACAGGGCTAGAGACATAGATATTGTCTAAGCTAAGGCAGCTTAGTATCTCGGTCAGTTCGTCCGCCCAGTTCCCCTCAAACGACCCCATTTCTACTGACAACCGAAAGAAATCCTGCCTAGCGCATTGGTATAGTCCAAGGTTCATCATGGACTGACATATCCTTACCAGTCTGCTCCGGGTTTCAAACACCGCATCCACTAGGAAGGGAGGCAGCACGCATCGCATGGTTCTGACGGGTCGCCTCATGCTTCCTCTATCCCCAAGTTCCACCCGCACTTCTGCCCTTTCCATTTCCATCTCCCTTCGCTGACACGAGACCCATACAACTTCTGCTTCAGCCTTCCTAAACAACTCGTCCGGCGCATTCCCGAGTGCCAACTCTACGACCATAGCATTCTCCCCATCTTTCGACAAGTAGACCCACCCCCGAGCTTCCACTGTTCCCCGGAACTCCAAATCCATTAAGCTTGGCGACAACCTTGTCAAGTTAACATTAGCCCATACCGTCTCTATCCATAGGAACGCGTCCTCCCCTTTCAGCATTACGGTTTGATATGCTGGTTCAAGATCCGTCCACGCCCCATCTTCCGGGAGGACGACCGACACCCCATCCTTTACGTCTACTGGCATCTCTGGACCGCTGGTATAAGTCGGGGGAGACAACCATCGCGCCATCTTGCTTCCAGCACCCGGCCCCTGTTTTCATAAAAGAGTACCAACCGGTTCCTCTAGTCAGGTCAGCCCCTTTTCCTAAATGAGGCTTATTTCACATACCCCATTAAGGTCTCCCTAATTTACCTCCCTATTCCTAAGTACCTCCCCCCCTGAATATCCTCGGTCGGCCATCCATTTCCCCACATTCATTTTCTTGGTTCCATTCCATCTGACTTCTATCCTCCTTCCTTCCTATCATCTCTCACTCGTGTGGACTTAGAAGGGAGGGGGAATAGACTTAGAAGAATGCCCGTCCAACAATCCAAGTTCAATCAATCTTTACGGGGGGGGGGGCACATAAAAAAAGAAAAAATCAGGCAATCTCACATACGAGCCGGTCATCTCCTCACCGACCATCCCAATATGGTATCTCCGGTGATACTATCAGTAGAGTCTTACCCCATACCTCAAGCGCAGCTCAACCGTCGCGAGCGCGGTACCCAGGCTCCGGCAAGGCGGCTGCCCTTTCCTTGTGCCCAGAATACCCCATCCCGTCTTGCCGCTTTGCACATCCATACCGACACCGAGGGTTACCCCGAGTGCCTAAATACAGGGACAAAGTCAGTCGTCCGGGCATTCACTTTCATCGGTCCGACAAGAATCAGCCTTTCCCAAAACCATGCTACGAGAAGCTACTAATCGCCTCCGAGGCTCCGTCTTTGTCTGCATGCAGTGGTTCTCCACCTGCCAGCCAACAAGCTAAGCCCCGCCTTAGGAGATTTCACACCCCGTCCGGCAGATCATCGAGCCAAATCCCGTCACTGCTCGAACGAGAATGCTACTAATCAACCGACGTGACAAACTTCCGTCCGACAGCTCGGTAGTCTGACCTCCACATACGAACACACGGCAGCCTACAAAAAGAGAACGACGTTTCGCAACCCGCACTGGCCGGTGCAGACCAATCCTTTCCTTCCGAAAGGCAGGACGCTCGAATCCCATCATGCAAACACAAGTCCCAAGTGGGACACACATAGTACAAGTGTCTTTCCCTTGGTGTATCCAACGCTTCCTACCCATAACTCTCAATTTTCTCTCAGGACAATGAGTGTCACTCCCCTTACTTTCATACATAGTGGTTGGTTCCTTCTCGTGAGACTCTTCAAAGGCGAGCTAGTTTTCCTTGGAGTCTAGCAACTCCCTCCATTTCCCTTTTCTTCATTTGTCTGTCCTTTCATAGGGCGGGATTGTTCTTTCTTGATGACCCGTTGTGTTCATATTAGTTCCTTCAATCATTAAAAAGGTGCAAAGTGCATGAGCCCGCTGGACTCAAAGAAGAAGGGGAAAACACCCATTTCGTCGGATCACTCCGCCATGGGATTTTTATCGGACCCCGGCCGAAGCCGAAAGACCAACCGCCTGCCAGGTAACCGGAGCCCTTCTTTCATACGAAGAGGAAGGGTCGACCTGCGACTTGCCCAAGGCTTCCCCAGACTGGCGAACACCAGCACTGAACGAAGGAGGGCTAGAGCCATTCCGCAAGGAGATGGCTAACCAAGTGCAAAGCATGCATGTTATTCCTCCATGCCTGACCATGCCATGCACCCAGCCGCCCTTAAATCTGATTCTCTCAAGGGAAAGAGCAAGCACAAGTCCATTTTTCTTATCTTGGGTTATGTACATGTCAATGCGTCGGACGCCCCCCTCGAATCGCAAGGGTCAGTTTAACCTCATACCTGGCACCTCCACCATTTTTGTAGGGCCAAACCCCGGTAGACTTTCGAGCCTTAGTCGACCCCACTGCGGGTCCCATCCGGCTCGGCCCGTCCATGCTCATGCTCAGGGCGTGGGTCGTTCGTCCCGAGGTCACCCCCACCTAGTGCTTTGAGATGGATGGGGGTGGGCCATCGCGCGAGAGAGCTTTGACATTGAGGATGTAACTCATCCCTCACGCTGGGTGGTAGTCTCGCTGGTCGATCCACAACGCTGATTTTTTTTTATTCTCTGTGGTATTCTCACGCAATTGCTCCTTCCAATACGCAGGCAGTCCAGGGGTTCTTTGAGAGTCTTTCTTCCTTTGTGTGCAGGCTAACCGTCATCCTTAGGCCGCACACAATTTTCCTAAACCTAGTGTACGTACGCCGTCATCGGGGTGCGACGAAGCTGTCTTACCCTTCGCCTCTATACTCCGGTTGGGCCTCATGCATCATAACCAACTTCATTGCCGCAGGCCCCTTAGTCTCTTCGGGGCCTTTACATGCATGTAAACATACCATCACCTTTCCCTTGGCAAGATTGTACTTCGTTTTTCTCATCTCCCCCCCCCACAATTTTCAAAAGCAAAAGTCATTTTCATGGGTTGGTTTTATGCTAGGGTCCTGCAGCCCCTTTGTCCCTCTTCCCCTTCCCTCTTGGCGCCCGGTTCCGCCCGGCCCCATCCCGCTTAGGGCATCCTTAGCCCATACTCACTTGCACAATCCCACACAAGGCAAAGATCCATACAAAATCCCCCGTCGGGGGTCAACACATAGCCCTTCCCACATGCCTATCCTTTTCATGCTCTTTGGCTGTGCTTTGTTCCTTTTTTGTTGCTCGATCAGCCCATGCTCTTCTCATAGTCATGCAGTCGGGAAAATGGTTGAGTCAAACTGACCTCACTTTCAACATACGTTCTCTTCCGGATTCCGCCTTTCTCCCACTTTTTCAAAACGTCCTTTCTCTTTTGCCTTTTTGGTGGCACAAGGGACCGACTATCCTCCCCTTGCCCTCTTTCTCCACCAAGTGAAGTCTGATTTCATTTACCGTACCTGCCCTGACAATGTTTCCAAGTGAGGGGAGAAGGGTTACTCATATGCCAAGTGAGGGGACGGGAGAGAGGGAGAGAGAAGGCAAGGTGATAAAAGGGGGGGCGAAATAGAGGTCTAGAGGAGGAAGGGGGAAAAGGGGGAGAGAGAGAGAGAGAGAGAGAG